ACCTCTCGTCTACATGGTCCTTGATAATATTGGAACGATGTGAACGGAGTAGTTGTGACCAAGATAATAGAGCCTTAACTTGCTTGTTTGAAACGTTAGCCAGCGTCTGAGGAGATTGATGATGATGCGATCAGAATGCGATGCATCAATTTAGTATTTGTAGACAGCAGCCAAGGAAGAGAAAAAACTGAAACTATCTTAGTTTATACTTCCAAAAGCCTTCATCTCCACAAATTAGAGGAAGTAATAGGCTCATCCCGTTTGTGTGTTCTCTTGTGAGATTCCATATTTGGAGACAAAAACGGGATAAAGTAAAGCCTTAAGAACATGGCTCGTAGTCCTCTGGCGCTTAATTCATCCAGGATGAATGCTTTCGTCTCTGGAAATAATTGGCAAAGCCGTGAGAGCGGCAGGGATGAAAGAGGTGGTGGGAAGGGGTGGAAGAGTTTGAGCCGAAGCTCATATCCTAGAAAATATATTTTCCCATAAAAAGGATCCCACTGGCTGTGGGATTTCGTAGTAGTCTTGGTCCAACAAAAGATGAAAAATGAATGTAGTTACTTTGTCTGATATTGTTTCCTTCGCAATTTTGAAATCTTGCAAAGGAAAATCTTGATCAAAGTAACCACTAAAACTCCATAAAAAAGTTTTAACGTGTTCAACGTCCACGATTTTCCAGTACCTGGATGGATAATCAACATGGATCATGATGCTGCATCCTCTTACAGTACAACCGAATGAAGGATAAATAAGAAAAGCGGTTGTCACTGAATGAAGAATAAACATGAAAAGGAAGTTGCATCAGGAGCAAAGAAAAAAACTGAATGAAGAATAAATAAGAAAAGGTAGTACCACTAGGGCCATAGAAAACTAATGTGTTTCCTCTGACTCTCCCGGTTACGGCCCAAACAGCAATTACAGCGGACACCGACCAAGGCTGTCCTTCAAGTTTTGCAAAATCTGCCGGTAGGGAGACCTTGCAGATTAGAGGAAGCACATGAAGAATATTCATCCTGTCGCGTCCCCTATACTTATTCTATTGATGAAGTAGCCATAACTTGCTAAAATTTTGGTAAGCAGGTAGAAAGCGACCGGCACACACGCACTCTGATTTTTTCCAGTGCGTTCGTAGGTGTTTGATCAGGGACATCCTTTGGTGATTTCGCATCGCGATACATGCACGGGCCTGGTTGAAGATATAAAGCATAAGGCTGCAGCTGTAGCCCCAGCTTGAGCGGGGATGATGTAAGCTTGTCCACGTAGACGAAAATCATGCACCAATAGAAAAAGGTATAAAAAGATATACCCTCTTAAAAACAGCGATCGGACAATGCGGGCGTCCGTTTAACCAGAGGTCTAATCGTGGATCAGTTGTGGTTCGCTTCTGCAAGTCAATGATTGACTCGAAAAAATGAAAGCGGTGATGGGATAACGATCTCAGGACCAGCGAGTAATTGAAGAGACGAAGAGGAGTGAAGGCAGATATGATAAGCTTAAACTTTATAATGTTCCACCAGGTCACGGAACTCGAGGAAGTCCATTCTTTCCTTCACGCAAATTAGAAGGCAAGATCATATTCTCCAGCTTTGAATATTAGCACATTTCTGATAGGATTGTGCTACACATAACAACTGGAGAATAAGAGCTACGAAAACCTTAAAAAGGAGTCAGCGGATCCATCGGCGAGGGTATAGGGATCTTGTGGCACTATCCCTTCACCAAAATGCATCACCTCCGGCCCTTGCATTTCAAAGTGCGCTTTTTTTGATGATGGGTACATCAAATAATGCATCCCAGTCTGGAAAGCACAGGCGCGCAGATTAGAGAAGGCACAGAAAAAAAATAAATAGATTTTAATTATTTTCATATGAATAAAGGCGCAGCCTTAATGTAGTGGACGTACACGCTGTACTGGTCGCGCATGTGTGCAGCGGCCGCTTGCCATCCGAGTCTCCAGATTAGAGGAAAGTTACATCGAAAAAGCAATTTATTTAGAGCGAGAACTTATATGATGTCCACCCGTAACTTTTTCGAATTGCCAGCCGTCACGATAGCGTGGCATATATGAAAGCGATCGAAGTGATCCATTTTTTTTTTTGTTTGATGTCACAAAAAAAAATGGATCAGAGAGGTGGAATACTTAAAGATGTATATGCCCACTCTTTGCTTTCTCCTTGCGTACGCAAGCGATTCGTAGATCCGTGCCTTGTACCGAATGCGAGGTGATGATCATCTCCATGAAGCTCTCGCAAGTGACATTCGCGGGCTTCACCGCTGCTCTGTGCTTGATGAGGAACTTGTTGGAGGGACAGGAGAACGTGATCATGTAACTCGAGTAGTAGTGTCCACTCATTTTCGGTGGACGAGTTTTAGAAGCGTGAAAGCTACAACAAGATCACTTAATACCAAGAAGATTACTTCTAGAATAAGGAAAAAGCGACTTTCGTGTTGTGGCTGTAGTCTTAACAGATGGGCAAGCGTCTTTCTTCCATACGCCCCAGGGGTAAGCCAAACTGGGAATTTTTTCGCCGCCATCATCTTCAGCAGCAGTTTCTTCTTGTGTAGCGGTAGGTGTTGTAGCCTTGGAAGAAGATGCAGACGAAGAGGACTTTTGTGTCGAAGATTGAGTGGTTCCGGAGGCAGGTGGTAATTCTCCAAAGAAGTCGTCAAGTTGGAAAAGATCTTGTTGGGAGGATGATGAGGCTTCATCTATGTTGATGTTGTAACGCTTAGCTTTCAGGCGTTTTTTCTGACTCGGCTTGGGCTTCTTCTTTGTGTCATTACTACTATCACTACTTTGATCATCGTCTGCCTCAGTCCCTTCACCGGAAGAAATAAACTCGACGATTTTTTTACTAGCCATTCTGGTCTTCTTCGGCGGTCCTCGTGGTTTAGAAGTTGGGCCCCTTTTCATGGGGACCGCTTTCATGATTTTCATTGGGGAAGATGGCATTATCGAGAATGTTGCTCAAGAGCAGCTGTTAGGAAATCTCTAGGCAGTACTATCTCAGAAGCAAAGCAAGCTCATGATGAATAAAAATGATTGAGGGAACGATAATAATAATATAGCTACATGTATATCACTTGCTTTTCTGGCTGCTTCTTAAATTAATTATCAAAAAAATCAGCAGAATATTTCTTGATTATCAAAAATACCAGGAGAATACTTTTTAATTTATCTCTTGCCTTGCTGGCTGCTTCGTAAATCAATTATCAAAAATATCAGCAGAATACTTCTTGATTATGAAAAATAATAGGAGAATACTTTTTAATTTATCACTTGCCTTGCTGGCTGCTTCTTAAGTCAATTATCAAAAATATCAGCGGAATAATTCTCGATTATGAAAAATAGCAGGAGAATACTTTTTAATTTATGACTTGCCTTGCTGGCTGTTTCTTAAGTCAATTATCAAAAATATCAGCAGAATAATTCTTGATTACCAAAAATACCAGGAGAATAAAAATAAAGGAAGGAATCAATCTGGGGGTGTGAGGTCCTGTGGAACTACATGCACATAGCAGAAGTTTTTGTTTCTGTTGAATGCTCGATAGCATAAGTTCATGCGAAATTTCTAGAATAGCTCAAACAGAATACTCTCTAACAGAATCTCAAACAGATGTTTTTTTTTTTCCTGCTGAATGATCGTAATTTCAAGCGAAGGATCCACAATACTCTCGAACAGAGTCAGAATCTGAAACAGATTTTCTAACAGAATCTCAAACAGATGTTTTTTTTTTTCCTGCTGAATGATCGTAATTTCAAGCGAAGGATCCGCAATATTCTCGAACAGAATCAGAATCTGAAACAGATTTTCAAGCAGGATCATTTCAGAAACGATCTTGGCGCCACAAAAAGGACCTTGGCTACACAAAATTCGTATCAAAAAAAAAAACAGAAATTCTTTGGACAGACGTTCATCGTAGCAGAACACGTTATTGAACTATCTCTCGTGTATACATGAGTCTCGTCTGACTTTTTATTATGTCACGCATCATTTGAGAAAGAAACCGTAAAAATTCGGACAGCCTCAAAAAGTGATGAGTTGATTTGCGGTATCCATAGTTTAATATTATTTCTTTCACCTTCATCAATGAGTGATCAATTTGGCTCAAATGTGGGATCAAGTGGAAGATCTTTCACCATCAACATAAGGAGCTAAAAATCAAATCACGCGGGTTCAAGAGTGTGCATCTTTGATAGCATGGGGTTCAGATAAATCCTCACCGTCAACATGTCCAGCACAATAATTCGCCTTTCCTGCCTCCATGTGCATAAGAAAGTAGTATTGGTTTGCGACTAGTAAGATCGGAGTCTAGAAGAGCATCAAGGTTACCAAGAGCAAACATTTACAAGAAAGATCTCCAATATCAATATTTACATCGATGAAACAGAAGAGCAAATAATTATTACAAGTGATTTTATATTTCCGCCTATCTTCTGGTCTCCACGTTGTTTGAGATTCGCCATCGTTTCCACTTTGCTCCAGGGTTCGCCATTTCTATCCACCTCCAATACCCAAAACTTTAGAGCGTGAATGTGGTATGTTAAAAATTAACAAAGGCTACGTATACAGATGAAACAGCAATTTTCAGGAGAAACAGAATTAACAGAAGCTACGTCTACACAGGAGAAACAGAAGAACACTCTTGATACACGCATAATTTTATCGCTTTGCTTGCTGTTTTCCCATCTCCTTGCCTGCAGCTTTCTTCTTCTTCGCGACAGCCGAAATTAGAGAATAAGGAAAACGAAGGCGTCAGAGAGATATCTTGACTCTTAGTTTAATGATAGGAGTTCTTCTAATAACAATTTCTAAAGCCTGAACCGTAAGAAAGAAGGTCGACTTGAATCCTCACTCGCCTCGAAAAGATCCTCATCTTCTCCTTTCTTAGCAGTGAGAGGCTCGGTTTCTGCTGTGCGCTTCTTTGTCGGAGATTTTACTTCCTTCGCAACGGTACTGGTAGAGGAGGAAGAGCCAACATTTCCAATTTTGCCATCACTTCCATTATTTCCAGCAAGAGGTTGCATAGCAGAACTACTGGAAGATCCACCAGCACCAAGCTGTCCTGCTAAACCAAGCGCGCCAGCAGCTGTCATCGCCTGGCCACCATTGGTTGTGCCTGGAGTGAAGAGTAGAAGAAGAAGTAAAGATGTTGCGAAGACGAAGTAGTAAAAATTTTTTATTCTCTGACTTTTCTCATCAAGATACTTTTCTTGTAGTAGTTCTATTTGTTCTTGGTGCTTCAGCTTCATGGCTTCCTGGTGCTTCTCCTTCAGGCATATTGTTTGCTGCTGTACTTCATAGCGAGCATTTGCAGCAAGAAGCTCCTTCTCCAGATCTCGAACTTGCTGGGCTAGTAGCTGATTAGATTTCTGGCATCGTGTATTTTCAGCTTTCAGCACGTGGGCAAGATGTTGTTCTCCAGCTGGAGTCAAATAAGTCAGCTCAAGTTTCTCCGTTTGAAGTCGACGAGTCGTTTCTTCGTCGCCTTTCTTCTCTGCCCAATATCTTTTCCTCCAGTAACTTGCCGGATAGTTTTCATTCGGTTCGTCAAGCGTCATCCTGATGCGCTGCAGGTGCTACCACTACAGTACTAGAAGATGATGTTTACTATTGCTACTCGTGAGTTCACGCTTAGGTATAAATTCGTACACAAATCACAAATATGCGCAACGCATTAAGTGCAGCGCGAGGGGCGCGGGTGCTGACCATCTTCCGAGGGCTGCGCTGCGCTTGGTGGTCAGCCAAGGCAGAACGAAGAGGCAGGCGGGAGAGCAGCGCGAGGGGCGCGGATGCTGACCATCTTCCGAGGGCTGCGCTGCGCTTGGTGGTCAGCCAAGGCAGAACGAAGAGGCAGGCGGGAGAGCAGCGCGAGGGG